TAGGTGATGGAATTATTTGCCAAGTGTCTATAAATGCACCAAGTCGTGACATAGAATCAGAAGAAACAGTCGAAAAAAAAATCGTCGACTCCAAAAACAAGATAGTCGACGCCAAGAGAAAAATCCTGGAGGCTAAAAGAAAAATAAAGAAGATCATTATAAAAAAGAACATAGAAAGCAAGGTAATTGAAATATCGGGGATGCCAAAAAAATTAAAACGTAAGAGAAGATCGAAATTGAAAAGAAAGAGCAATAGTAAGAAAAGAAGCAAGAAGGAAGGTAAACGACAGGCTAGAAGGGCTAGTGATAATGAAGAGTAGCAGGGCGTCGAAGAAAAGGAAACAGAATAGCTATATTCCTATAGTCTAGCAAACAAACGGCTCTTTTCAGAGCCATTTTTTATTGGTGAAGAGTAGTGAAATCGATTCTAATAAACAAGGCTTAATGTCGTAGATTCGGTTTGATTTTAAATTTTGAAGCGTTTCGAACGTCGTTTAGAGTGAAATTTGACTTTTCGATTATTTAATAATTTAATTTTTATATATCAAATAGAAAAATTATCGAAGAAAATGACTCCTTCCGACGAAGAGATGCTTCGGAAATTTAAGAAAGCCAGAAAAAAAATCGTCGACGCCGAAAGAAAGATCCTCGACTCCAAAAGAAAGATAAAAAAGATCGTTCTAAAAAACCATATAGAAAACAAGATAACTGAAATACCGGGAATATCAAAAATATCAAAAGCTAAGAGAAGACAATCAAAATTAAAAAGAACAAGGAGGAGTAAGATACAATTCCTGTTATTAAATACAATTCCTTAAATAACAAATTCATCATATTATCGTCCAGGTTTATTATTATTTAAAATACAGTAATTTGTAGTAATTCAAACACAAATTATCAATATTTATTGTATTTACTTATTAATTTGCATACAGTTAGGTTAAATCATTCTACTACTTAAGCAACAGCAATATAATTTAACATATATAATATATGAAGTACTTTAATAAAATTTTAATTTAAATTAAAACACGATCAATTTTTCAAATAATAATAATTTTCTAGTCTAATATAGCAAATTTAGTTAATTCAAAACTTTAATTAGTTTTCATTTTTTTAACAATCTAAACGCTTAATTGGCTCAATTTTTCTATCATATTTTTCCTGGGTAGTTCAATTATAACTTTTACATTCAATTTTGTTATTTATATGCCTATATATTTAATGATAATTTTTTATAAGATATTAAATGGATACTTTGAGACAATTATCTAAAGCTAAATAAAATAGGTTTGTTTATGAGTGTACAGTATAAGCCTATACAGCAGGAATGGCCAACTTATGTGTACATAAGATCTACTTTTTATCTTAAAAATGTGTCGCGATCGACTCGTTGTCTGGAGCATAGTCTAAGTTAGAGATGGGCAACCCGCGGCCATAGTTGCATAAAATATGCATAAATATATCAATTTTCTAGCTTAAGAAGCATGCAGCAAAAATTCAAATGTTATTTTCTACAAGTTATGTATGTGAATAATTTTTCCTGTAATGAATTTAGTAAAAATTAAAACAAGAAACCGGCTAACAGTTCAGAAGCAACCCACGTCAGTTCAAAAGTTTTGAAATGCAGCCCTTACACAGAAAAAAATTGCCCCTCCTTGGTCTAAGTGGCAAGGGGGAGGGCGGTGTGAAATACATACTATGTTTAAATAGATAAGAAAAGCCACATTTTAATTTATAACACGAAGAAAAAATACATTTTAAACAGAAAAAAAATTGAAACTCAACGTTGTCACTTTCGGGGACCACCACTTCACCCTTCCTCTCTCTTCCGTGTCCCGACCTACTCTCACTGTCCCTTCTTTTTTTCGGTTTTACGACGCTTTGTCGACATTTCTTATTCCCCTTTTACAACTGTAAGCAAATGGATTACACATGGACCGAAAAAACCGCTTCTTAGAGAGAACGAGGAGATTTGATATCACTACAGTTGCGTTCAGTTACAAATTAAAAGTGTAACACATTAAGTCAAGACATCGCAAACGATCAACCAAAACTGGTTTCGCAATTGACTTGTTGTCAGTGATGATAGCCAAAGAGGAGAATGCAGGCCAATCTGCCGTTTCAAGTTTCCAGCGTGTTGGATGGTCTGTTTCACAGCTTTCTCTGCCTTGATATTTTAGAAATATTGGGAAGTGGTCGCTAGAGAGTGGATTAGATCCTACCTCCCATGAAAATGCTGAAAACAGGTTTGGAGTTGCTAATGATAAATCAATGGCAGTGAATGTTCTTGTTAGGGCATGGAAGTATGTCACTTCTCCAGTATTAAATACATATATTTTCTGATTGCCGATAAATCTCTCAATGGCTCTGCCTCGACGATTGATGTCGAGAGTGCCCCACATAGGATTGTGGCCATTGAAATCTCCAAGTAAAAAAAATGGTGTTGGCAGCTGTTCAACCAAGGTATCCAATTCATTCTCATTGGCTCTGACATCCGGTGGCAAGTATATAGAACAAACTGTGACAGTTACTCTGATTGAAATCCTGACTGCCACAGCTTGCAAATCAGTGGTTATTTGTACCAATAAGGATGGAATGCGATTAGAAACCAGTATAGCCACAGCGCCACTGGTACGGTTGTGGCTATCATCGTCCTTGCGGTAGAGATCGAACCCTTTCAATGAAATTCTTTCTCCAGGTTTTAGATGGGTTTCTTGAGTGCCACACAGAGAGATGAGGTATATGATGTCAAGTATTTAATGTCAGAGAAGTTGTTGCGAAAACCACGACAGTTCCATTGGATTATTTTATAATCCATTATGTGTTTGAGGCAGCATTTTTAGCAAGGGTATCCCTCTTTAATTTCACAGGAAGTTTTTCTTTTGGGGGATGATGTTGGTTTTTTCACCTCCATATTAGGCTCTTCATCAGATATATCAGAGAACTCTCATGGACTGAGTCTCCGATCTTTTACATTTAGAGAGGGCTGCTTTCACTTTTTGTTTGTTAAGTGGGTTCTTATTTGCTTTCTTTGAACAGACATTTCTGGTTACTAACCCTGCTTTCAGAAGTGATGTTTTTGAATTGATATTCTCCTTTTCTTCGGTTTCTTTTGATTGGATTAGCAAACATTTTGCATAGCAAGTAAGAGATTCTTTTGGGGAAACAGAAATATCTGTTTAAACTCCACATGTCTTTGTAAATTTCAAAACAGCTGCAAATGTCTTCTGATTCAAAGGTGCACTTAAAGTGGCCATGCGCCGAGCTTCTGAATAAGGTAGACAGTTAACTGTTTTCACGCGCTGAATCCTTCTCTCTCTCTGCCATGCAGGGCATTTCTGAGAGTAGGCAGGATAGGCGTCTTTGCAATTCACACAGCATGGAGTATTGGTACACTCAGTACTCTGGTGACCTTCAATTCCAAACTGTGTGCATGTGCTTTTCCCACAACAGGATGTTTGTGAATGTCCAAATCGTTGGCATTTCAAGCAACGCAGCAGATTTGGAACATACAGAGAAATGAAGATGATCCACGTAAAGGACAGCCAAAAACTGCAACTACCGAAGAAAATATCGAGAAGATACACAATATGGTTCTAGATGATCGACGATTAAAGGTGTATGAGATAGCTAAGGCTGTAGGCATCTCAGAAGAAAGGGTAAGGCACATTTTACACGTAGAATTTAGTATGAGAAAGCTTTGTGCAATATGGGTGCAGCATTTGTTAAATGGTGATCATAAACAAATGAGGAATCGACTTTCTCAGCAATGTTTGCGCCATTTTAAAAAAGATCCAACTGATTTTCTGCGCAGATTTGTTATGATGTATGAAACATGGGTTCATCACTTTCCCAGATCAAAACAACAGTCCAAACAGTGGGTAGAAGCTAATGGCTCTGCACTGAAGAAAGCAAAGACAATTGCATTGGCTGGAAAGGTTATGGCTAGTATTTTTTATGATTCCAAAGAGATTCTTTCAATTGACTACCTGTCAAAGGGTCAAACAATTAATGGGAAATACTATGCACATCTTCTTGACCAGATAGATGAAAAAATTAGAGAGAAAAGGCCTGGTTCGCGAAAGAAAATAATCCTCTTTCACCAGAACAATGCACCCGCTCACAAAAGTGCTTTGTCAACGGGAAAATTGAGGGATTTCAAGTATGAATTATAGAAACATCTTCCCTATTTGCCAGATTTGTCTCCCTCTGACTTTCAATCATTCCCAAATTTTAAAAAATTTTTGGCGGGAAAACATTTTGGGTCAAGTGAAGAGGTGATAGCAGCAGCAGTAAATGATATTTTGAAGACCTTCCAGAATCGCACTTCAGGAATGGAATACTGTTATTGGAAAAATATTGGACAAAGTGTATTGAACTAAAGAAAGACTACATTAAGAAATAAATGCATTTTTAATATAAAAAACTCATTTTTTCACTACTAGACCGAGAAGTTTTCACCTTGCCCTCGTAGCATGGAAAATAATCAAATTGTGGTAGCAGACAAGAGAAATGTGGTTGCCGGATATAGATCTATGATTAGAGGGGTGAAAAATTATGATAAAAATAAAGGAACTCCTCTAGTCATGGCTGTTGTCCCTGAAAAGGTGTATATCCCATAAAGGGTTAAAGAACATTTCTCTGCCAGCAGCAGAAGGTGATGATGGCATCCAAAAATCAGAGACCTGCTGCTGCTGGGGCAATCGCACCCCGAGAGGAGAAAGAAGACTCTACCTGCTATTACAATCTAGCAGAAGGGCCTAGCTCTCCGCTGGAACCTAGTGATAGCAGCGATGAGTCATCATCCNAATTCTGACTGCCACAGCTTGCAAATCAGATGTTATTTGTACCGGCAAGGATGGGATGTGATTAGAAACTACAATAGCCACACCTCCACTGGCACGGTTGTGGCTATCATCATCCTTGCAGTAGAAATCGAATCCTTTTAAAAAGATTTCTTTTCCAGGTTTTAGATGGGTTTCCTGGAGTGCCAACGAAAAAGACGGAGATGGAGGCCTTAAAACAAATGTGTATTAAATAAAACTTGTTTATATTTTTTGAGTATTGAAAACATTTTTAACAAAACTAAAAAGTATGCAATTCTGCTGGACATAATCGGCATTATATCTAAGCCTAACTCATATATAAAAACAGCTCATTATTCACAGCAAATCAGATGATTATGGTTGTACAAAATCGGTTACATTTTTAAATTTCTGAATAAATAGTGCTAACTCGCAAATTTTTAAAAAATATATTAAAAACATTATAAATTAGACTAATACGCACTCCATAACAAGTCTTATCAAACCAAATGAAAAAAATCCGGTTACTTATTTTTGTGGGTGAAGCTAAATGTGGAAGTTTTTTATTAAGGAAAATCCTATACCACTCCTGGTTTAGTATAAATAACACCTGAGTGTCAGGAATAGTTTCAAAAAGCACCTTCTAATAAAAGAAAATGACGACAGTTGATTGCTGGAAATTAGCAAAAATAAATAGCAAGTTTTTTTTTGAATGTTTAGTATTATTATTACATATATATAAATTAACTTTTATTGTACAGATAATCCAGAAGTTATAATCAATTGTCAGGTGTTTAAATTTCAAAATAAGACCCTCTTACAACTCTACAATGTGTTCTTAACGAGGCAGATTAGATATGTGGAGGTTAATTCAAAAAATTTTGGAATTGTTAATTTCATTCATCCTGAAATTACAATGAAGAAAATTAACCCCCAGTGAAAAAAAACTGTTAGATTTTGTAACAGCTTGCATAAGCTCATTTTAACATATCGCAGTAAAAATGATGGCAATCAGCAGATGTACCACAAGAATATTGTATTCACTATCAACAATTTTTTCAAAAAATACGGTTTTATTTTTTTAAAAGTGGGAAAATCGAAAAATGTTTAGTTAAGAGTGAAGTGATGTTCATTAAATCGACTCGTTAGATGTTGAAAAATTCCAGGAAAAAAAATTTTCCGAAATTAAAATGCGATGTCCCCACATTATTAATCCTGTTTTTAATATATCATATTTCAGAAATAATGAATATATATTTTTTATTATATAGAATTATTGGACATATTTTGACAATCATCGAGGAAAAAAATTAGATTAAATTTTTGTAAATAAAAACACAATTTTTATATTTTACATGGATGTTTTTCCCATTGTTTTTTCAGCTGTGTGAATAATACTTGAAGTGACAACTTCAACTGCATCATTAATATCAGCAGTATTGACCATTTCCTCTGTAATGTCAGCCACAGGATAAAATGCAAGCCAATCTGCCGTATCAAGTTTACAGCGTGGAGGACAAGCTGTTTCACAACTTTCTCTGCCTCGATATTTTAGAAATATTGGGAAGTGGTCACTAGAGAGTGGATTACATCCAACCTCCCATATAAATGCTGAAAACAGGTTTGGACTCGCTAATGAAAGATCAATTGCAGTGAATGTCCTTGTTGGGGCGTGGAAGTATGTCACTTCTCCAGTATTAAATAAATATATTTCCCGATTGCCGATAAATCTCTCAATGGCTCTGCCTCGACGATTGATGTCGGCACTGCCCCACATAGGATTGTGGCCATTGAAATCACCCAGTTAAAGGAATGGAGTTGGCAGCTGTTCGACTAATGAATCCAATTCATCCTCATTGACTCTGACATCTGGTGGCAAGTATATAGAACAAACTGTGACAGTTACTCCAATAGATATTCTGGCTGCCACAGCTTGCAAATCAGTGGTTATTTGTACTGGCAAGGATGGGATGTGATTGGAAACCAAAATAGCCACACCTCCACTGGCACAGTTGTGGCTATCATCATCCTTGCGGTAGAGATCGAATCCTTTTAAAGAAATATTTTCTAAAGGATTTAGATGAGTTTCCTGGAGTGCCACACAGAGAAATTGAATAGATGATGTCAAGTATTTAATGTCAGAGAAGTTGTTGCGAAAACCACGACAGTTCCATTGGATTATTTTATAATCCATTATGTGTTTGAGGCAGCATTTTTAGCATGAGTATCCCTCTTTAATTTCACAGTGAGTTTTTCTTTTGGAAGTGATATTGGTTTTGTCACCTCCTAATTAGTCTCTTCTTCAGAGATATCAGAGAACTCCCTCATGGACTGAGTCTCTGATCTTTTAGCTTTAGAGTAGGCTGCTTTTAATTTTTGTTTGGTAAGTGGGTTCTTATTTGCTTTCTTAGAACCCACGTTTCTGGTTACTACCCCTGTTTTAGGTATGGGTGTCTTTGTCTTGATGCTCTCCTTTTCTTCGGTTTGTTTCGATTGGATTAGCAAACATTTTGCGTGGCGAGTGAGAGATTCTTTTGGGGAGACAGAAATATCTGTTTGTACCCCACATGTTTTAGTATATTTTAACTGCAGCAGCAAATGTCTTTTGTTTCGTTAATGCACTTGGGATGGCCATGCGACGGGCCTCTGTGTATGATATGTTATTTACGGTTTTAATCCGTTGGACCTCTTTTTCTCTCTGCCAGGCAGGACATTTTCGGGAGTAGGAAAGATGAGCATCTTTACAGTTTACACAGCATGAGGTACTTTTACATTCAGTGCTGTTGTGGTCTTCCATCCCACACTGTGCACATACGCTTTTGCCTCGACAAGATGTTTGTGAATGTCCAAACCGCTGGCATTTGAAGCAACGCAACGAATTTGGAATGTAAGGACGAACGGGGCAGCGCAGATATCCTGCAGTAATGAAGGATGGCAATGTTGTCTTGTCAAATGTCACAATTAAATGTTTTGTTGGTATTAACTTACCGTCTCGACGAATGGAGATACGTCGAACAGCAGTGACACCTTGATCTGAAAGACCGATCTGAATATCTGCTTCACCTTCAGACATTAGGTCGGTCTCAGATATCACACCACGTGATGAGTTTAAACTTTTGTGTGTTGTGATTGAAACTCCCATATCTCCGAGTGTTTTCATTGACAGAAGCTTTGTTGTTTGTTGAGGAGAGGCTGTTTCCACCAGGAGGTCACCTGACCTCAATTTCTGTATTTTCCTTAAATGCCCTATGGTTGATTCAAATAATTTATGGATCAAGAATGGGGAACACTTAGATAAAGGTTTTTCTCCAGTTGCGTGGACTACTAAGTACGCTGGCTGACTGGAGGTCTTTTCATTTGTTGTCGTTGTTGGCTTGTCTAAATTTTTTGTTTTTTGAGAATCCATATTTAAAAATAGATATTCAGCTCCTAGTGACCCCACCCACCATGGGGCCCAACAAGGGGATGCCGTCACATGGAAGAGTACCATAGACCGTCACACCAGGGTTTCCCAGGAGCTATACCCTCACAATGCAGTCAAGAAGAGCACATCTTTTCTGATGTGTCCGCCCGGTCTGCATCGATCAGTTGACTCCAAGCCGAGGTCAAGAATGACTCAACGACCAGCCGATTGACTCAAACGGAGCCTGATTTGAGCCTCCCGTTTATCCGAAGCAGGGGCCAAAGCAGTGTGTTGGGGACGTTATGTTGCCCCTCAACTACCAGGATCCCCCTTTCCAGCATACGGGACACCACGCACGGCAAACACGTGGGTGGGCGTTCAGATCCCAGGGATGGTAAAGAAAAGTTACTAAACCATCTCAGGGAGGTCCCCTCACCACGGACAGGAACCCACATCGAGGGGCCCCTGCTTTAAGAAGTGGTGTTTTTCTCTTGATACTCTCCTTTTCTTCAGTTTCTTTTAATTGGATTAGCAAACATTTTGCGTGGCAAGTAAGAATTGTTTTAAAAAAAAAAAAAAACAGTAATACCTGTCTGAACTCCACGTCTTTGTGGATTTCAAAACAGCAGCAAATGTCTTCTGTTTCAAAAATGCACTTAAAGTGGCCATACACCTAGCCTCTTAGTACAATAAACTGTTAGCTGTTTTCACACACTGAATCTCTCTCTCTCTGCCATGCAAGGCATTTTCAGGAGTATGAAAAGTGGGAATCATTGCAGTTAACACAGCATGGGGTACAGGTACACTCAGTACTCTCGTTACATTCAGCCCCACACTGTGCACATACATTCTTCCCACCGCAAAATTCCTGTGAATGTCCAAACCTCTGGCATTTGAAGCAGTGTAGTGGGCAATGCAGATATCCGGCTGTAATAACAGACGGCAATGTGGGCTTGTTAAATGTCAGAATTAGATGTTTACTAGAAATCACCCTGCTGTCTCAACAAATGGAGATGAGCCAGACATTAATGACACCTTGATCCGAAAGGCCCATCAATATATCTGATTCGTTAGTTAGGGTTTATTAGCGCAAGGGCCACATACGCCAAGCTGCACCATGTCAAATAATATAGTTATATACAATAATAAATATATAAATATATAATGTATTATATCAAATATAAATAAATAAAATAATCAACACAGTATATATAAATATAAGCTAAATAAATAATTACATATGTTTATAAATATTATTCACTTTCAAAAAATTCAGAGGTTTGTCAAAATGTTGTCTATGACTTTGATCGAAAGCAATGCAGTTGCAAAGTATGTGTTTCACACTTAGATTTCAGTTGGAAAACTCACATACTGGCTGGTATTCACATTTCAAAAGGTATTGATGAGTAAACAGAGTACGCCTAATTATCAGACGACTAAGAATAACTTCACATCTGTCACACTGTTTATTACGTGTCCAATTTTCTATCATCAGTTTGATCTCATGTAATTTGTTGTGGATTTGTGCATTCCACATAATTTGCCATCTCTCTGCTAGTCATTAAAAAATGACTAGCTTCAAATCACCTCCTTCATTACGCATTGTATGCTGTGGAAGACTTGCTGAATTTGCAGCTGTGTCGACTTCTTTATTATCTTTTATATCTACATGGCCTGAAACCAAACAAAATTTTATAGAAAAATTGCTTGCAAAAAGATGGCAAAACAGTTTACGAATTTTAGTCACTATGGAGTGGAAACTAGATTCCAGTAAGATCAAAGCCTAAAGTGAACTAACTGAGTCAGTGTAAATCATGCAGAAACAATGACCTTTCCTATTTATATATTTTAAAACAAAATAAATAGCCTGCAACATCGCAGAATAGATGAAAGAATTCAGTGCTATTTGTTCTGCCAACATTTCATCCTGGCAAACAAAAGCTAAGCCAACATAGTTATTCAATTTAGATCCATCAATGTTTATAGGAATTAAGTTGCTGTCACAATAATGAATTTCTGCGAAGTGCTGTCTATAGACATAGTCTGACGTGGTTTCTTTCGAAAACTGCTTTAACCTTAAATCAACATCTATAAGTAAGGTGAACCATGGTAAAATACCATTAACCTCAACATGTGAACTGTAACATTAGACTCCTGTTTACCATTCTCTCGAAAAGTTTACAGAGACAACTCGTCAGAGAGATTGGTCTATAATTAGAGGGATTCTTGCGGTCTTTACCTAGCTTGGGAATGGGAACAATAATAGATAGCCTCCAAGGGTCAGGAAAAGTATGTTCTGTAAATATTCTGTTAAACAGATTTAAAAAATTATGAAGGGATTTGTTTGACAAATTTTTAATCATGCTGTAATGGATTTTATCTGGGCCTACAGCACTATTCCCCGAGTGACAGATAGCCGTATGAAGTTCTATGTTCGTAAATGGCACATTATATTCCTCATTAGATGAGAAGTGAAAGTTTAAGTATTGTTTTTCACTTTGAGCTTTATAAGCTTGGAAATTCCTAGTAAACATTACATTGCTGGATGAAAAAGAAAACGTTTCACCCAACAAATTGGCAATACCCTGTATATCGCTGATTATTGTGCCATTATTTTCCAGCATGGACAGAAAGTGGGAAGCATATTTCCCATTAATTTTATGGATTTTATCCCAGACTGCTTTTGAGCTAGTACAAGATGTTATACTAGAGACATACTTCCTCCAAGAATCCCTTTGGCTTTGCCTTCTAATTCTTCTGGCATTTGCCTTTGCTTTTTTAAAAGCAGTGAAATTACTAGCAGTGGGGTACTTCTGAAAATCCCCCATGCTTTCTTTTGTGCTTTAAATGCTGCCTCGCAATTCTGATCCCACCATGGTTTCGGATGCTTTGGATATCTGGTTGATGTTTTCCCCATTGTTTTTTCAGCTGCCTGAATAATACACTTAGTGACAACTTCAACTGCATCATTGATATCAGCAGTATTGACCATTACCTCAGTGATGTTAGCCAAAGAGGAAAATGCACGCCAATCTGCCGTTTCGAGTTTCCAGCGTGGTGGACAGGCTGTTTCACAGCTTTCTCTGCCTCGGTATTTTAGAAATATTGGGAAGTGGTCACTAGAGAGTGGATCAGATCCAACCTCCCATGTAAATGCTGAAAACAGGTTTGGGCTTGCTAATGACAGATCAATGGCAGTGAACGTTCTTGTTGGGGCATGGAAGTATGTCACTTCTTCTGTATTAAATAAATATAGTTGCTGATTGCCTATGAATCTGTCAATGGCTCTGCCTCGCCAATTGATGTCGGGACTGCCCCACATAGGATTGTGACCATTCAAATCAACCAATAAAAGGATTGAAGTTGGCAGATGTTCAACCAATGCATCCTCATTAAATCTGACGTCTGGTGGTAAGTATATAGAACAAACTGTGACAGTTACTCCGATAAAAATTCTGACTGCCACAGCTTGCAAATCAGTGGTTATTTATACCAGTAAGAATGAAATGCAATTTGAAACCAGAATAGCCACACCTCCACTGGCACAGTTGTGGCTATCATCATCCTTGCGGTAGAGATCGAATCCTTTTAAAGAAATATTTTCTCCAGGTTTTACATGGGTTTCCTGGAGTGCCACACAGAAAGAAGAGGTAGATGATGTCAAGTGTTTAACGTCAGAAAAGTTGTTGCGAAAACCACGACAGTTCCATTTGATTATTTCATAATCCATTATGTGTTTGAGGCAGCATTTTTAGCAAGGGTATCACTCTGTAATTTCATAGGGGGTTTTTCTTGTGGAGGTGATGTTAATTTTGTCACATGCATATTAGTCTCTTTATCCGAGATATCAAAAAACTTACTTATAGAGAGATCATCTGACTTTTTACATGTACAAAGATATGATATGTACAGAAAGCTGCTTTCACTCTGTTTAGTGGGTTCTTGCTAGCCTTTTTAGAACCCAGGTTTCTCGTTATTACCTCTATTTTAAATGAGTGTGTTTTTGCTTTTGTACTCTCCCTTTCTGGTGTTTCTTGTGATGGAAGTATTAAACATTTTGCATTATGAGTAAGAGATTCCTTTGAAAAAACAGAAATATCAGTTTGAACCCCAAGCATTTTTGTACACTTCACAGCAGCCGCAAATGTCTTCTGTTTTAAAGGAGCGCTTGAGGTGACCATGCGCTAAGCCTCTGGGTAAGATAGATAGATTCAGGGGGTAAAAACTGTAAACACTTTCTCTCTCTGTTATGCAAGGCATTTCCAAAAGTAAGGAGGATGGGCATCTTTGCAGTTTACACAGCGTGGAGAACTGAAGCACTCAGTACTCTGGTGGCCTTCAATTCCACACTGTGTATATAAGCTTTTTCCTCGGTAAGATGTTTGTGAATGTCCAAACCACTGGCATTTAAAGCAACGCAGCAGATTTGGAATGTATAGGCAAACATGGCAACGCAGATATCCTGCAGTAACAGAAGATGGCAATGCCAGCTTTCCAGAAGTGAGAATAAAGTGTTTAGTTGGTATCAACTTGCTGTCTCGACAGATCGAAATTCGTCGAACAGCAACGACACCTTGGTCTGAAAGACTGATCTGAATATTTGTTTCATCCTCAGACATCAGATCGATCTCAGATATCACACCACGTGATGAATTCAAACTTGTGTGTGGTGTGATGGTGACTTGTATGTCTCCTAGAGACTTCGTTTTTAAAAGCTTTTCTGACTGTTGAGGGTAAGCTTCTTCTAAGAGTAGATCTCCTTACCTCAATTTTTGGATTTTTTTAAGGTGCCCAATGGTCGATTCAATGATTTTCTGAATCAGGAACAGAACATTCAGAAAAAGGTGTTTTTCCCGTAGCATAAATGACGAGCTAAGATGGTTGGTTGGAGGAACTGACCTCATTTGATGGCAATGCATTGATACGTATTTCTTTTTGCTTTGATGAATCCATATTTAGAAATAACTATTCAGCTCCTAGTGACCCCACCCACCATGGAACCCAACAAAGGAATGCCATCACATGGGAGATTCCCATAGGCCGTCACACCAGGGTTACCCAGGAGCTATACCCTCACAATGCAGTCAAGAAGAACACATCTTGACTGCATCTGCCTGGTCTGCATCGATCAGTTGACTCCAAGCCGAGGTCAAGAATGACTCAACAACCAGCCGATTGACTCAAATGGCACCTGATTTGAGCCTCCCATTTATACGAAGCAGGGGCCAAAGCAGTGTGTTTGGGACATTATGTTGCCCCTCAACTACAAGTATCCCCTTTCTGGCATACAGAGTACCACGCATGGCTAACGTGGGTGGGCGTTCAGATCCCAGGGATAGTAAAGAAGAATTACTAACCATCGCTGGGAGGTCCCCTCACAATGGACAGAAAACCATGTCAAGGGGAATTTTAAAAAAGTCCATTGCTTTTACAACTGCATTTATTTGTTGAACACCTCTTTTTTCAATGGAAGCATGTATAGCTTTGCCTCCACTTTTCAAATTATCTGCAGTTGCTTCTCTCAGAGATATTTCTTGAGAAGATATCTCATATATGGAAAGTAATTTTTTTTACAAATTACAAACTGATTATGGGTATAAAGCTGCTTGTGGATACCATTTTTGTTTGCTAATTTATAAAAGTCAGAGTCTTCTATTCCTATTCTATTCCAACAACAACCACCAACACATTTCTGGCATCAGTACAGCCATGGTCGACATCAGGTACTTGTACGGTATCACCAATTTGAGCAAAAGGAAATGGCAAAGAATTTGGCAACAGACTGTCGCCTCACTGTCGACATCAGCTTCTTGTTTCGACCTCCACTTTTGAGTCTATGCTCCATGCATACCTGTTGAGTTATAAAATTATTTTAAATGAAATATATTATAATATAATATAGACGTTATATTGGGTTGTCTGGAAAGTTCATACCAATTTTTGGTAGGTGGCGTAAGGACGGGTCTGAACATATCAAAATGATTAAAAATAAATAGTCTCTTTATATTGCATGCGTACATACTGTAAAAGACAATACTTCAGAGATATTTGGTAAAAAAAATACAATACGTTAATTTTTGTCAGTTTTATATGCCTTTAAATATGAAGATAAAGTGCATTTTAGGCATTTAATGCTTTTCTTCTTTTACCGGAATGGCAAAAATGCCACACAAGCGGCAAACAGGTTATTCGCTGTTTATGGCGAATGTGCTGTAGCTGAAAGAACTATGCAGAAGTGGTTTGCTAGGTTTAAATCTGGTGATTTCTTCCTTAAAGATCAAGAACACCCGGGTAGGCCCTCCCCCACAAATGAAAATCAGATTAAAACACTGATCAAGAATAACTCATGCTATACAGCATATAAATTAGCAGAAATGTTAAATGTCAAAATCCACCATCCATGAGCATTTTATAAAGCTTGGCTACATAAACCGTTTTGATGTATGGGTTCCCCTCAATTTACCAGAGAAAAATCTATGGATCACATTTGCATTTGCAACTTGCTATATAAACGCAACGAGGAGACACCATTTTTCAAGCTCGTAGTGATGGGGGATGATAAATGGATGGGGAAAGCAGAATGAACCACCTTTAGCCACCCCAAAAGCAACTCTTCAACCAAAGGTCATGCTCTACGTCTGGTTGGATTGCAAAGGGATCCTGTATTATGAGCTTTTACCAAACAACAAGATGATAAATTCAGAGAATTATTGTTACCTATTAGACAAATCAAAGACATCGATTGAACAAAAATGTCCAGAAATAGCAAAGTGAAAGAGTGTTGTGTTTCATCAGGACAATGCATGGCCTTATGTGTCTTTGATAACTCGACAAAAGTTGTTGGAGCTCAGTTGAAATGTTCTACCCCATCCACCATATTCATCAGACCCGTACCCTCTGATTTCCACCTACTTCAATCATTACAAAATTCCTTTAATGAAAAAAATTTCAACTCAGATAAAAAAAATCATGTAGAAAAGTTTTTCACTAAAAAACAAGAGACTCTGGAAGGACAGAATTTTCAAGCTGCCTGAAAGATGGAGACAGGTTGCAGAATTGAATGACACCTATATAATTTAATAAATGTATACTAAAATTTAAATCTCCTGCATTTATTTTCCTTCAAAATCGACACAAACTTTTCAGACAACCCAATATATTTCAATTAAAATTAATTTAACATTATAATATACAGGGTTCATACTCAAGTTTTTGTTTTGATTTCCCTGACCAACTTTGCCCAAATTTCCTGACCCTCACATTTTTTTTAGTGTGGAATATCAACATAATAAAACAGCATTTACTGTTAACATTGAGTACATCTAGCCCTCTTTTTGTACAGTTGATGTGCTTCAAAGACTGCCACATTAAAAGAATACAGTACATACATTCTGTAGAAAAATGTTTGATAGAATCCACAACTTCAATGTAATGAAAAAATAAGCAATTTACAAACAAAACACAAGCTTTTTATTTTATCATCATTTATCATTATTATTTGTATGTAAATCTAGTAAATACAAGGTAACATAAAATCAACACACAGTATTTTTTGATAAACAAATACTGTTTGTTGCTGTGTACTGTATTGTGTTGTACTGTGCTTAAAATGAACTCTTGANAAATGGTATAGTAATTGGGAAAGAAATAAATTTAATACCAAACAGAATAAAAAACAAAATTACAGTAGTTTCCCTTATATAGATAGTATTTATAATAATTGTTTAAAAATTTTAAAGAATGAAGGTGTAATTTTGGCCCCATCCTTGACAAATAAACTTTTTCATAATATTAAAATACATACAAATTCAAATAAAATAGATAAAAAAGAAAAAATAGGTACTGTATATATGATAAATTGTAAATGTAATATACCAGAAGTTTATATAGGTGAAACAGGTCGTAAATTAGAAAAACGTATTAAAGAACAAGAAGCCGCTATTCGGTTAAAAAATAGTAATTCTCCTTGGTATAATCATGTAATTCAGAATAATAATTGTAAATTGGATAAAAATAGTGTACAAATATTGCATAATGAAAGGGATATTTATAAGAGAAAATTTAAAGAACATGTTGAAATAATGAAATATAATAATAAAAATAGCAATCGATTAATAAATGTTTCCAGTGGAATGCAAATAGATCAAAGATGGTATCCAGTAATAGAAGAAATTAAAAGATGACGTCATGAGGTAGAATAGTCAATAGAGGGAGTGTTATTCAGAATAGTTCCGATAACGGACCGTTGAATGGTTGTCTTCGGTGTGTTTTGTTGTGTGCTATGGATGTGTATAGTTCATGGGCTATCACCGTATAGAATAATACAAACAGTATGTATCTTAAAAATTAATTTTTATACGTTATTGTTTGTTTAACTTCCACTTTTTAAAAAACTTTTTTAGAAGTTAGGTTTTAAAATTTGTTAAAAATAATTTTAAAAATTCGTCTTATTAGGTAAACTTATAAAGATCTAATTTAGAATAATATTTATTGCAGTAATTTAGAAACACAACCATAGATAGTCAAAAAAGATATTTAATACACTTGATATGAAAGTGTTAATGGAATGTATAATCAAAGATATGTATTCTGAATGGTAATGTAAAACTAAAGTGTTAATTGTTATATTGATATTTTTACTCGCAAAAGAGTTTATTAAAAATGTTTATATTTTATAGTACTGAAGAGGGTCCCTTAATAGGACCGAAATGCATCTACAGTAATTAAATAAAGAGAAGTCATTAGCTAACAGCTGTGTGTTGGTCTACCGCTAAACTTAAAATTTATATTTTTCGTGCAGACTTACAGAGACCTTGTAATATTCACAGTAACTTTTTTTAAACAGCAACGTAATTTTAACAAAAAGTTAAACTTAAAAATTTTTAAATAAAGCATTTTTCCTACGTAAAAATGCTTTATTTATTTGTAAAAAAAATCAATGATTGTACATAAACAGGAATAGGTGTAAGTTTATACTATAGCTTCTCTAACAAATGCATCTAATTTATTGTAAAATCTTTTCATATTTTTACAAAATGGACAATCAAACTACAGAGAAACTTTTTAGTATTAATTCTCTTTTTTCAAAATACAGATAATTAGAAAATAAATAATGAATTACAATTCACAAAACACAAACTATTATATTAATGTAGTTTTAGCCTTTTCTCCTCAAGTGTATTTATTTTCATTTCAAACAATGGAAAATCCGACTCCAATCCAAATGATCGATCTTGGGAGCTGCATTGTCTAGACCACAGGTTCTCAAACTTATATCGACCACTGCCCAATTTGAGATTAAAAAAAAAATCCATATTTTTTAACTTAACCCTTTTGTCCCAAGTGGTCACATAGGTACTGCAAGTATTTCAAAGTACCAGAAACCTAGAAAATGCATTACAAACAAATGAATATTGTACCAAACAGAGATTTTGCGTTATCGCTAAGGAACTGGCAACTGTAGTAGAAGTCATTTGAGTCGTTCACTTAAGCGATATTACACATGTGATCCTTTGAGTATCTTTATTCAAAAATTCGCAATTTTCACTCTCTATACTAGTTGAATTTTATATATTTTAGAAGATTTATATGTATAATCCTTCCCAATATTCAGGTAAATAGATTTAACTTCTAGTTTCGTTTTTATTTTGTTATTTTTTCACGTGGTACACACATGTACCAGCCGGATTTTTTAATGGTACTCATATGTACCAACAGGTCTTTTGATGAACACATTTTTATTTCAGTATTAAAATGAAAATAACAATATTATCTCAGAAGACATTCGATTGTATGGATGACTATATTTCTGACGTTTCTGTTTCATCTTCCAATGAATATGAACTGACTGATGATGGGACAGAAAGTGAAAGTGAATACAACTTTAGCCAAGATGATCTTGGAAAATCGTTCTATTAAAAACACTATTTCTTGTAATAGATTTATGCTTGTAATTTCTAAACTTTGCTCTTCCAGAAAATCTCCAAATGCTACGAAAACCTATTATGTTGATGAATTGATTTCTTGCTTGAAGTACACATTTAGTAAATGTTGGCAAGATAGTTTCAGAGTATAGATGAATCAATGACCAAATTCAAAGGACAATCTTTGATGAAACAGTATATGCCTCTAAAACCAATAAAACAAGGCATCAAATTATGGCTTCGTTGCGACTCTGATTATGGATACATATATGATATGAATGTATACTCTGGTAAAGATTCACCAACAGCAGATAAATAAGTAACCCTTGGAGAACGTGTTGTCAAATCGCTTGTAGCAACAATAAAAATCAATGATGTAGTCCTGTTTCTGATCGCTTATTTCTGGCATAAATCCATTGCAAACCATTAACTTTCCTGCAATAGGTACTATTATGGCTAACTGCAAAAATGTACTTAGCATGCCAGACAAACTCAAATGAAGAGAGTCTACATTAGATGTACTGACACAGGAATATTGTGTGTAAAATGGCAAGACACAAAGGAAGTTTTAGTAATGAGTAATTGCTACAAACCTGATTTGACTTTTATTACTAAGAAAACTAAGACAGGTGAACAAGTAGCAATAGACTGTCCACAAGCCATAGCTTTATATCGACAGAAAATGGATTAAGTTGATCGAGCTGATCAATATATAAGTTTGTATAATCAAGACAGAAAATCCACTAAATGGTGGAAAAAAGTATTTTACACTTGTCTAAGTTTGTGTGTAACAAATGCATGGATTATGTACAATGACTTGAGGAGGAACACAAAGAAAGTTTTTTATCTAAAATTTTTGGTAGATCTTGCTGAAAATTTAATTGCTGAAGGAAAGAAGAACAGCAATTTACAACTACGAAAAAGAGGC